TTGATTCTCCTCCTGTCCCACTATCATGCTCAGTCCCCACCAGGACCTTGACATTTCTAATAGCAAGTTTATACTGCCACACTGTCAGTTCTTGGCTATTCAACCAAGATATTAAGGTTGACGGTATACCAAGGAAGATGAGGACTTAGCTTAACCACGTATTTCATTCACCTCTCCCGATAAGCTATGTGTCAGTTTTTTTTAATCACTAACATAGCCCCACATTTTCTGGAGGAAGAATCAATATATCTTTTAATGAACACATTCAAATAAAACCAGTATTCTGTAGTTTTTTTATTCTGTAATCCAGTAATTTGTATGCCATCTTTCTGGATCCTGCCACCCTTCTCCTATGTCAGATACAGTACTTCCTTTTTGCTCAACCAAAGAAACTCATTTTTTCTCTGTCTACAACTTGTCTGAGAAGGCTGCCCTCTACAGACTGCATTACCCATTCCCTGTGTCTGCCTCCAGTCTGTCCTGCCAGTGAGGAATACCCATTGAGAGGAGGAGAGAGCTGGGTTCTTTATTCCCCCAGCTTTCTCCTGGGCTTGGCGGGGACAGAGGGCCACCATGAGTCAAAGCTGATAGCAGCTAACAATAAAATGCTCCCCTGTTCTCAACAGGCAGCCCCTCCTTAGAGCTATAAAGACCAAAATAGAACTGGATGTTGTCTTATCAAATTTGAGTCATGGTGATCCCAATACAGCATTGCTGTTAAGTCAATTACAACTCACAGTGACCCTATAGGGCATAGAAGTACCATGCAGTTTCCAACGCTATCATCGCGGATATATTACTCATTTAATTAAAAATGGAGAGGCAATAAAACTTTTTTAAATGAAAGGAATCTGCTTTACCAAAGGAATAAAACCATTAATTATAAGAAAAATTCGAAGCAGCATCACTAATATTTTAAATTATGTCAGGTTAAAATTTTTTATTGCATTCATTCTCTCATCATGTTAATAACACAAATGACAAACTCTCAAAAAATCCCAATTACTAAATTCACATAGCTATTGCTTTGCTTTGTATATTCCATATACATTTTCTCTGTCCCATTTAATCTGTTGTAAATTATCTTCTATTATACACATTCTCTGATACACATACACATATGTATTTGAAATCTCAGGCCTCTAGAAACATTATAAAAAATTTCTCTTATTCTTAAGTTATTTACCATTTTCTAGAGAAAAAAATATATCTAAAAGTCAGAAAATTAATGGCAATTCAGAATCACTGGCCACAAGCAAAATGACAACAATGTGTCTTTAAAGAAATACCAAGCAACAAATTCAAAGTTACCAGAAAATCATTAAACAAAAAGAAAAATAATAAAGACATATCTATAGCTATTTATAAATTAGTAACAGTATTTTCAAGACCAAAAGAAGGGCTGTGTCACCAGAATCTAAGTAGAAATAATTCGAGGATTTGATTGATTGAGGATACAAATGTCACCAAGTTTAGAATCCACTGAATTTTTTAAAATACTGTAGTGCTGAAGCTGACTGGGGGTAATGTTCTGATTTGTACCAGAGGGCAAAAAACACAGGGGAAAAGGGATATTATGCAACAAGAAATAAGAACAAAGGGGTGACCTTTTAAAAGATTGCTCGAGTGTAAATCCTGTAGTTATAAGGGGTTACTAAGGTACACTTTCATTCAACAATGTTAAGTACCCATTTTGTGCAAAAATCTTGCACAGTCCTTATTTCAAGACTTAAAATCCAGGCTAAGAATCAGATAAACAAAACTCCTCTATTACTACAAAGAAATCTGGTAAAGGCTAAACTAAACATGTAGAGGAAGAGTAACCACAGAAAACTTGTACAAAAGGGTGTGGTACAGTGCTTTCCCAGGTACGGCTCTTCGAGCCAGTCCTACCAAACAATTGAGTGGGACTATGCTAATTGGGTGAATTTCCTCTTATTCTGAGAGGTCTGGGTAAGAGAAGGATGATGCTGGTAGGGATTATATGATTCAATTATTAGTAATTGTTAACAAGGTTGGAAACGTGAAAACCTGGCACTCTAGTAGTAGGTTGATCCTGTGGGGTACAGGGTCAAAACTGATCTGATAGCAGTGAATTTGGAGTATGAGCCATTTCAGAAGCGGGTTGGAGGGACGTCATTATCATAAAAAATAACCAGGAATGGAACCTCTGAATCTGAGACCCCTAAGGCCTGAACCCCCATGATCCAGGAGACAGCTGTGACACCAGAGGAGCAGCAGAACAAAGAGGGCAGATGGCATGCCTTCAAGGCAGGGGGCTGTGCTTGCAGAGGAAGTGCCTACGCGCACACTCATCAGAGGAGCCAGAGCGGAGTACCCTCAAGCTGAGACTACTTAAAGTAAAATGGAATGTCCTTTAGGCGTTTATTAATGACGTCAAAAGAGTTCTCTAACACTGCCCAAACAGGGCAGAGAAGGGCACCAGAGAAAGGTATGCTTGTAGGCAGGGCTGAAAAGAGGCTTTCTGGACCAAAGAACTGTATCCTGAACATTTCTACTCATGAATTGTGTGGTCTGTTATCACCTGTGAGTTGTGTGGCCATTGCAAGGAAGTAACCAAACCCAATACAGAAGTAGAGGGCCACGGGAAAGGCAGCTGGAGCCAGAATTAGTTAGTACAGGTGGTTGGAGGTGAAGGCGTTATCTGACCTCAGCTTCATAGGAATTGGCCTAGGGCTGGTAGGCTGGATTTGTCATTTCCCTTTGTGAATGAAGTCAGGAAGTCGTGTCTGACCCTTTTTTACGAGGGGAAAGAAATGTAAGTTTAAGACAGGTATGAATTTCGATGGCTGTTATTCAAAGGGAAAAGGAAAGAAAACATACAATTTGACAATGGTAAAGTTAAGCAAATGCTGTATCTATAAGATTTTAAATCACCATAATGAAATGCAACTGTACAAACTGTCATTTTCCAGCCTATTTTAAAAGCTATCATGAAACAACCTAGTGAAAAATGCCCTGAGAGTAATTTAAGAGCCAAAAGAAATTGATAAAGCTGACTACAACTTGATCTTACTACATACATGAGCTATTTATAAGTAAGGCAACTTGTTTCCCCTATTAACTTTCACTACTTCTGAGGTGAAAAAAAAGTTAAGCTCAACACA